TTCCAAAGAGATCAATGATATCAGGTGTACAGAAGAGTTTAGGGTCCACTTCATTAAGAAATAATTGGCAACCTTGAAGGGTCATTGTTTCCTTGTCTTAAAGTATCATGAAACACATTAGAATATATGCAGCAGTGCTGGGTCCTCTTCACCACCCTTTTTTTTTTTTTTTTTTTTTTTTTGTATCTCATTCTTTGAAATGGGAGATCAATGTCATAATGAGCCAACTCCAGGAGAACATTTTTTTAAATTTACGGAATATGTGCCAAATAAAATTGATGGAATGATTGCTATAAAGAAATCATTCTTCATTAAGGAGTTGTCATTAATTTTGATTTAAATACATCTAGGATGGAACAGTTTTTAGAGTTTTCTTTAAGAATCTAGATATTAAACAATTAGAGTTGGGATATTCAGTAGACTTAGCCAGATCAGTTTGGAGAGGATACCCAGAATCTTGTTTCTTATGTGTGCCCAGTGTTGCCATTATCTGCACTCCACTTCCACAGCTCTGCTTAGTTAACCTCAAGTTTTAAATTTTCTCTTTTCCACTCCAACAGGCATTACAATTCACTTGATGCTAAGTCCCGAATTCACACGTAATTCAGAGTGCAATGTATGTGGTAGCTAGCAACTCTAGTTTCTGAAAGTGTGGTCCGTGTCCATTTGCTTGTGAGCCTCATACAATGCTCATGTTTTGCAGCAAGAGAAAAACTGGTATAGAAAATGAGTAGAGACCAGGAGGTATTGGTACAACACAGATGTAGCATCTAATCTTAAACTTATAGAATCAAAATCACTGGAGGTTATACCCAGGAGCCTTATTTTTTTAAAGCCAGGCTATGCTAATATACATTAAAATTATAAGATAAATTTAAAATAAAAAAATACAATGTAATAAAACATTTTGTGTGTGTCTCTGTGTACATGCCTGTGTGTATGTGTTTCTGTGTGTGTACCTTAAGATTCTTATATTTGACTCCACTTGTCTTTCTTCTAATTTTCATATATATCAGCTATTTTCCTTATATCTTATAAAAGAATCAAATAAGACTATATTTAAGGTGTTTGCAGTTTTTGTGACATTACTTGTTCCTAGTTTTAAATTACTTGTTACAGTATAAAAGATGGTAGTGTGGGTAGATTCAATATCAGAAGAGGGTTTCATCCTACTGATTACTTTTAGAGCCTTTGGCATGTTCTATCCTGGTGCAGAGAGAAGAAAATAGCCCCCAAATGACACACAGACTAGGGTCATCCATGAGGGCAGGACAGATGCTGCAGAAGCCAATGGAAGAGAGCATCTTAAAGTGGGATTTGTGGGAAAGGGGACAGAGATTTTTTAAAAAAATATTTCAAATCTAAATGATTTTATATGTATCTTTGTCATATAAACTGCAATATATATATATATATATTATATATAAATAAAATAAATATATATATAATATATATATATTTAAAAACTCTTGGCCAAGCTTGTAAATAATTGCAGTGTTTTGTCAGTCTCTGTTCAGTAGAGTAAATCATATTGTGCTGTTTTGAAGGGGAAAGAATTTTAGCAATTTTGTTTTAGCTTGTGATCTCACAGGAGGGAAGTAATTCTTAGAGCAAAGCTTCAAAGATTTAATATAAGATAAACAATTCCTTTCATCAAACTTAATATTAAATATAACAGAACTGCAGGCATAATAATTCATTTTAATATTAATATAAAATCAAGCACAACTTCTTTAGTCTGATTACTTTGGCATGTGAACATATTAAAGGCTCAAAAAATAAATAAAAATTAGCTAAAACTTGAAATGAGAAAAGAAAATATGTTAAGAATTTATAGATAGATCTCAATGTCATTTATATTAAAATGCTCTCTCTGTTTTCAAATAAACAGAAGAAATAAAATGGTCATTTGAAAGAAGCTGCAAAAAATGCAATTTGGGAAAACTTTGTTGTGATGATTTTTAGGTGAGAAAAATCCCTGACCTTAGTTGTTCACATGAGAAGGCATCTGGCATTCTTGAATTAACAAAGTATTCATTGAGTACTACAATGTGTTTAATACAGAGAAGGTGAGAAAATTAAGTAAGAAAGAAAGATGTAAATGATCACAAAGAGGGATGGTGTTACAATTTTGCACATAGGTGTCAGAGAAGAACCTGAAAAGATGACAAAAAATGTAGTCATTTGAGACATGTAAGACTGAACCATGGAGAATATTGATCCATAAGGCTAGAGAAGAGCATTCAAGATAGATAAAGTAGCAGGTATAATATTCCTGGGGCACCAACATACTTGCTCTATTCAAGGAACTGCAAGGAAGTCACTGAGGCTGGAATGGATGTGGTTGAGGGAGCCTGAGGTAGTTAATGGAGAGGTCAAGGGAACCAGATTAGTAGCACCTCATGAGCCATTAGTAATTATCTTGTCATTCATTGAAAGTGATATGAGACTCTTCCTCCAAAAGAACATAAAGAAAGTAATGATAGGCTCTGACTTTGTTCTTCAAGAATATTCTAGCGGCTAGGTTAGGAGGAGATTATGAAGAATTACGGCAAAAGCAAGAACTGTTGAGAGACCACAGCAGTCATTTAGGTGAGGGATGATGGTGGCTTGAAGCAACCATGGTAGCAGTGAGGTGGAAAGTGGGTTGGGAATTTGGGTTTATTTCAAAAGCACACTGACAGAATTTGCTGATGAAATGGGTGTAGCTGTGGGAGAATGACATTAAGATCTTTAACCTTAGCAACCAAAAGGCCCAGTGTGCTATTTACCAGATGAGAAGGTTGGAAAAAAAGCAAGTTTAGAGGGGGCCATCATTGGAAGTTTGATTAAGTCTGAGAAGCCTACTGAATTTCCACTGGCATCAAAGAGTAATTAGTTGTACACACCATGATGAATTTAGGGAAGCACTCTGAGCTGAAGTTGTCAATAGGGAAGAAAAGACATGAAAGGATATTTAAAGCCATGAAGAAGCTAGATGTAGAAAAAGAAAAGGGATATAAAACTGAATTTCAGGGTACTGAAATCTCTCAGTGTTAAAGAGACTAGGAAGGAGCGGGAACCAGAAGGTAGACGGAATGAGGAAGTTTTACCTCCCTGATCACTTCAATTCTGAGGGCACTGGCAATAGTACAGCTCTCGTGGACATGTTCATTTTTGTTTGTTTTGTTTTCCTTTCTTTCTAGATTCACTTCGTCATTTGTCATTTTTCCTGTAACTTGATCTCCATCGTAAACTCTGGCTCTTTCTCCCTCCCTCTCACCCTTTATGCCTGCATCACATTCTCTTTGAATATCCTCATACCCTCATTGGTAGTGAAACTTCATCTGAGTGTAAAATTCATTTTTGAAGACTGTCAAAAGTAATTTGAGAATTCATCTGGTGAATGAAATGGGTGACCAAGTTATTTAATATTGCTTTTGATCAAATATATGGCATGACCATCGAATAGCATCACCAAGTTTCCTGTGTGGTTTATATGCCAGATCTAAAAGCAATTTCCATAGGCATTCTCTAAAAGGTTTTGAAAAATGACAACATCACTGAAACAAATATATAGTTTTCAAGAGGACTATTTTCAAGACAACAACCAAATATCATATATGTATGTGAATTCTTTTGACTTAACAATATTTCTTCATATATTGTTTTATCATATATTTATAATGGGCACTAAAGACCATGGACATGCTTTTAGCTATAAATAATTTCTGAAAAAAATCTCATTTCCCAATACAAGAGTTTCTTAAACACATGCTAGTCTCATTTAACAATATCTTATCAAAAGCAATGAAAGATCATTATGTCAATGAATAAAAGATCTACAAAAAATTTAAACATATTTCCCCATTATTACAAATATTGTTGACTGTGAACACCACAGATTTACTAATAAGCATCCTTGGATGTCTGTTTAGAATAGTTGTAACAAATGCTAATTATGGCATTTATTTGTTCATTGAACAAATATTTATTAAGTTTTGGTGTGTATCAAATGCATGTCATGGGGAGAAAGGTTTGCTCCTTTAGATCCTTCCAAATGCATCCTGAGAGATTTATATGCCTAAGGAGGAGAGCCAAAATTGTGTTATTGACTTTCTTATCCAGTACAGTCTTCTGGGGAGTTGTGCTGTGTGGAGTACCTATTTGGGCAAGAGTCCAGGAAGAATGTCAGGGCTGGTGAGGTTTAGTTACCCTTTCTGTTTACTACACCTAGATTGAGATCATCAGTCACTTAACTTGTGGTACAGAGACTCCCTCTCTTTCTTAATGATGAGGTCCAAGTACTATCCTAACCTGTGATTTGACCCATATTGAGCGGATTGTAGTAAGAGAGTGGAGCTTTTAGTTATCCTCAGAAGCTAACCAGATTTGCTTTCAGTTCTGAAGATGCAAAGATGGGGTTCCCATTCTCAAAACAACAACAACATAAAAAAAAACATAAACAATAACAACAAAATTCCAAACACCAAAGATGGTAACTGGTAGCTAAATTGATTGTATAAACTCAGAATACAATTAGAATCTGTCAGGAAACCCTAGGAATGCTTAGCTTCACAAAGAAGCTACTGTCAAAGAGAGTCCATCTTTCACATCTTCCACAGGATAAGATAGAAATTCTTAGGACCCAACCT